ATCCCACTTCATCTCCCTCCCCAACCACTCCTCTGCCACAGCCTCAGTCACCCAAGGCGTTCCTCAAGGATCAGTACTTGGCCCCCTCCTCTTCATCATTTACATCCTCCCCCTCGGTCAGATACTCTGCCACTTCAACCTGGACTGATGACACTCAGATCTACCTCAGCACCAAATACCTCCATAACCCACCCCTTACCCACATCGACTCCTGTCTGACAGCCATTAAAACTTGGATGCAACATAACCTCCACAAACTGAACAGCAACAAAACAGAACTCCTCCTAATCGGCTCCAAACCCACCCTCAGCAAGGTCACTAACATAACACTCACCATCGATGGCACCATTGTTTCCCCCTCCAATCAGACACGCAGCCTTTGCGTAATCTTTGACGCAGGTGGATTGGCAGAAGGGACAATTGTTTGGTGTGGTGACTTTAATGCACACAGCACGCTCTGGGGGAGTAACATCACTGATGCAAATGGGTCAATAATAGAGGAGTATATGGATGAAAAGGGCTTAGTGTGTATTAACGATGGAAAAGGCACAAAGTTTTAACAGCTCACAGAATATAGAAAGTGCAATCGATCTGACTCTCACATCCACTGAGATTGCTGGTATTAGCACTTGGGAAGTTTTAAACCATTCAACAATAGGCAGTGATCACTATCCAATAGTGACCAAGGTTGGGATAGAGATACAACAATCTGGGGCAGTGAGAACACAGAGATGGAAGCTCGATAAAGCAGACTGGGATGCATTCCAAATAATAAGCCAACGTAGATTTGCAGAACTAACAGGAGAAGGCACAATAGAGGTGGAAAACGTTTTCTTCCTATCAGAGTGGATTTCGGAAAGGTCAAGGCAATATGGACTCGATCTTATGTCTAGAGTCAGAAATCAGGAAAGCTCAAACCAACAAAGAAATGGTCATAGCAGTATTTTTTATGTTGAAAAAGCGTATGACATGCTATGGAAGGAGGTTAATACAGAGAGCAGGCACGTGCACACATGGACATCAAAGTGGGCTTGAGCCCCTGCCCTTTTTCTTCCTCCAGAGAAAGTGCCCTTTTTTTATTTTTATAAATGAATATATCTTACTCTTACTGATATGTGCTGGGTCCAGGCTCAAGGGCGTATGGCACTCTCAACTCTTTCCAGCACATGCCGGGGCCCTTCCTGCCTGTAGCTTTGCCGATATCTGTGTTGATAGGTAATAGATTAAGAGCGGTGAATCAGCTTAGAAACAGGAAGTGCTCAAACGTTTGTGTGAGGTTATCAAATTTAGCAGTGATTCAATGTCAGCCACAGCTTGTCACACATGTTTTTACTGATAGTGTATTTAACAAACTTAAACTAGCTTTATTAAATGTCAGGTCTTTGGCAGGAAAAACATTTTTAATCAATGATTTTATCACTGAGCACAATCTCGATTTTATGTTTTTAACGGAAACTTGGATTGAACAAAATAGCAGTGCAGCTGTTCTTATCGAATCAACCCCTCCCAACTTTAGTTTTATGAGTCAGGAAAGAATGCATAAGAAAGGGGGTGGAGTTGCTATTTTGTTCAATGATTCCATTCAATGCAGGAAGACATCTTATGGGGACTTTGCTTCTTTTGAATATGTGGCCCTTCAGCTGAAATGCTCCTCTCGAGCTCTGTTCCTAAATATCTATAGACCACCCAAATACTGTGCAAGCTTTTTTGATGACTTTACTGAACTGCTGTCTATAGTGTGTATTGACTTTGACCGTCTAGTCATTGTTGGTGATTTTAACATCCATGTTGACAACCCCCAGGACAGAGGGGCTAAAGAACTGTTTTGTGTTCTTGATAACTATGGACTGACTCAGCATGTGGCGTAGCCCACGCACAATAAGGGGCACACTCTGGACTTCATTACCTCAAAGGGTCTGAATATCTCAAAGGTTGTGGTGACTGATGTTGCACTCTCTGATCATTCCTGTGTTTTCTTTGAGAGCTCTATTTCTGTTCACAAAAATGTTCAGAAAGAGGTAACCACAAAGCGATATTTAACTGAAAATACTAGGGAAATGTTTACTCATAATTTTTCATCCACACTTGCCCCTGCTAACATCTCAGTAAATGAGCTAGTAGATCATTTTAATTCAAAAATTAAAAATTTTATAGATACCATTGCTCCAACTAAGGTAAAGGAAGTGATTGGCAAGAAAAGATCTCCATGGAGAAAGGCCATGACCGTGAGAACAGAAAAAAGAGAGTGTCGAAAAGCTGAACGTAGGTGGCGAAAAACAAATCTCCAGTTTCACTTTGAAATCTATAAAGAGAGACTTGGCCTTTATAATTTGGAATTGAAAAACGCACGACAGTCTTTCTTCTCTGACATCATTACCAAAAACAAAAACAACGCCTTATTTGCTACCGTCGACAGACTAACTAACCCCCCAGTGTCAGTAGCCTCTGAATTTCTATCCACCAGGGCGTGCAATGATTTTGCCTCCTTCTGCACTGACAAAATTCAGAAGATTAGACAAGCAGTCAGTGCCTCTGCATCAGATACAGCAAATGTGTTGTCCCTATGTCCACCTAATATCAATTCAAACACCATGACACAATTCCATCAGATTAATGATAAAGACCTAGAGGGCATTATTCAACTTCTGAAATCCTCCTCCTGCTGCCTTGATATTATTCCAACAGGATTTTTCAAAGATGTTTTTCATTGCATGGCCTCAGATCTACTTCATATAGTAAACACATCTCTTCACTCAGGCACTGAAAACTGCAGTCATTAAACCGCTCTTAAAAAAGAATAATCTAGATGCCTCAGTAATGAACAATTACAGGCCCATATCAAACCTGCCATTTCTAGGTAAAATCATAGAAAAAGTTGTATTTCAACAGTTGAGTAACTTCTTGCATTTAAATAACTCTTTGGATGTGTTCCAGTCAGGCTTTCGTCCAAACCACAGCACTGAGACTGCTCTTGTAAAGGTCTTCAATGACATCCACTTAAACACAGACAGTGGCAGAACTTCAGTGTTAGTATTATTAGATCTCAGTGCTGCGCTGAGCTTCAGTCTGCAATGTTCAAAACAGATAAAGCCAGAAATCTAGGTGTAGTCATGGACTCTGACCTGAGTTTCAACAGTCACATTAAAACAGTTACTAAATCAGCCTACTATCACCTAAAGAACATATCTAGGATTAAAAGACTAATGTCACAGCAGGATCTGGAAAAACTTGTCCATGCTTTTATCTTCAGTAGACTCGACTACTGCAATGGTGTCTTTACAGGTCTCACTAAAAAATATATTAGAAAGCTGCAGCTGATTCAGGAAGCCGCTGCTCGAGTCCTCACTAACACTAAGAAAGTGGATCACATCACTCCTGTTCTGAAGTCCTTACACTGGCTTCCTGTGTGTCAAAGAATAGATTTTAAAATATTGTTGCTGGTTTATAAAGCTTTGAATGGTTTAGGCCCAAAATACATGTCTGACCTACTGCTAAATTATGAACCATCCAGAACTCTCAGGTCTTCAGGGACTGGTCAGCTTTCTGTCCCCAGAGTCAGAACTAAACATGGAGAAGCAGCGTTCAGTTATTATCCTCCAAATATCTGGAACAAACTCCCAGAAACCTGCAGGTCCGCTGCAACTCTTACTACTTTTAAATCCAGGCTAAAGACTTTTCTTTTTGCCGCTGCTTTTAATTGAACTATTCATATCTTAAACTGCACTGTAACTTTTATCCATGTATTTTTTCTTTTAATGTTTATTTTATTATCTTTTCTTTTTAATGACTGATTTTAAATGCCATTTTCTTAATGTCTTCCATTTATGTAAAGCACTTTGAGTTGCCTTGTGTTGAAAGGTGCTATATAAATAAACTTGCCTTGCCTTGCCTATATATCTACTGCTGTTTCCCTTTCCAAAAATATATTGATTGAATACAAAATTAAAACATCAGGTCGGGAGATTAGACTGTGAAACTCCGATGCCCTCCCTCCACGTCTTCTGCACAGCGGTGCGGACAGTCATCGGCAGTCACTTCAGACAGACAGGTGTAAGCACCTCCCACTTTACTGTGCCATGTTATGCCGGCTTTTCTTGCCTTATTTTGAAGGTGAGTGGAGATGAACAAATTACTAAACTGCCAGTGCCTCGAGTTTACAGCTAATCAGCTAAAAGACAATAACAAATATAGTTAACTAAGGTAGGCTAGCTAATGGATAAGTTAGCTCAAGGTTTAGCCAAGGCAATTTATCATGGGCATACAGGCTAATGTACTGTACTTAAGGGGAGACACTTAAAGTGAATACAGTCAAATGTGTATCTAATAACGTCATCACAATCGCCACATTGATATGCAAATTAGGCGTTAACTAGGCTTAATTAAAATGCTAATGCTAATTTGCTTGCAGTTACCGAGGCATAGCAGGTGAAAAGGATAAAACAAAAAAACATATCACCTCACAACTTCCCCAGATAGTTACTTACATCAAGTCAGTATTTTCCCCTGAAATGTTATGTTTAAATGCAGATTAGCTTTAAATCTATTATATATGTTTCTTGGAAGTTTTATTTCCATTAGAGTGAAAGAAAACATGGAAGCAAAATAGACCAAAATAACAAGTACATGAAAAAACGATCTTTTTGCCTGTAATGTCCTTAAACAGTAACTTCATAGTTTTGATTGTTGGCTGCTCATTTAATAACTATTAATTGTACTAGTTTGTTGTCTGCTCTTGTGCGTAGTGAATACTAAAGAAGACCATTGTCTCTGTGTTAACAGAATTCTACAAAATAATCAGCTGAGTATTAAACAATTGCGTGAGTGTGAGGGTATTCAAATAAATTGGTCAGTAAGTCAGAGATGTGCAACTATATTTAACTTTTTGTTTTAAAACATTTTTTTTATAAATGATTATGGGAAGTGCCCTTTTTCTCATTTGAGCACCTTCCCCCCAAAATGTCTGTGCACGTCCCTGAGAGAGTGAAAAAGAGGGAACAGACCTGCTCTGTGGATCTGAAGCTGAGGCTGTAAAACAGCGTCCAGTAGTTTCCGGTGTCTCTCGTTCTCCTGTTTTGAACGAGACAGTTCCTCCTCGTACTCTGCTATCGTTCTTTCAAACAGAACAATGATGTCTTCAGCAGCCGCAGTGAGTCGTTGCTTCACCAACGAGAGCAGCACAACACTCATGTTTACTAAATCACCACTTCCTGTTTCTCTCACTCTGTGTTGCTAGCGTGTTACCAGCTAGCTTGCTAAGCTAGCATGCTAAACTAGCTTATAGAGTCCGAGCTGAAGGCTTCAGAAGAAAGAGCACAAAGTCAGAGGTTCATCCAGACACACAGACGATGGATCAGCTGCTCACACACACTTCCTCAGGAACACCGAGAGAGAACCATGGATGTAGCGAGAGAACCATGGATGTAGAGAGAGAACCATGGATGTAGAGAGAGAACCGACGAGACGCGATCTGGTTCCCTCTGTCAGGAAGAGCGGGACCATCACTTCCGGTGCAGGGGACTTCAAAATAAAAGTGGCTAGGATTTCCCCTTACAATACCTAAACCTTTAAAGGGCCCATGTCATGGCCATTTCCGCTGATCATAATTACATTGTTGAGGTATACTAAAATAGATTTATACTGTGCAATTTTCCAAACTCACATTGGTTTCGCATACAGCATCTCTGTAAAGTATGTGTATTCAGCAGTATTCACTCTCTCCACTAAACGACTCGTTGGAGCTCTTGCCCCCCCCCTCCCTGTGAGCCTAGTGTGCTCCGATTGGTCAGCTCGGCCACTCTGTTCTGATTAGTCAACCACCAGAGAGGCTCCGCCCATGTCTAAACGGCTGCTCTCAGCCGAACATCAGTCTTATCATGGCGTCGGTACAGCCGTATATTTATACGCTAACTAACCGAACTGTACCTACAACTGTTGTTATAGAAGAGTGTGACGGCCCCAGGGCCTTTGTGCAGGTGTGTTGCAGGTCTTACGATGGGGTGGAGCTGAAGAGGCTAATCAGCGCGATCACGGACACCTGGCCGGAGCCGAGGTGCTATTAAGCCCAGCTGCCCGGAGTCACACGGCGGCCCCTGTCTCTTTCCAAAGCGGCTGCAGAAGGACGAACTCGGCGATCCTCTCCCCTCGACCACCTATCTCTGCATTTACCACAATAAATGTGCCGTGGTTTTGTAAACTCGTGTATGTCCGTTGTGGCCTACGAGCCGGTCATAACAAAGAGTAAGTTATTTTTACCTGTAATAAACTACTACTGTTTGATGAGAAATCAAATCATGGTTTGCTATATATGAATGATATGTTATAGGAGCAAATAATTCAGGGAAGAAAGGATAGGCCTACTAAGTATTTCCATTCAACTTTATTTTTAGAAATGTACAAAATGAACATAAATATATATATATATACACACGGTATATCATCCATTCCTCCCCGCATCTTGCCTGGGCGCAGCCGGTGCCTTTTAGGACGAGGCCTCAGCAGTAGTAGTAGTCCCGTCCCCGTCATGTATTGTCCGGCAGGATCTACCTGGACGAAATCAAATGCAAATCACAAAATATTAGAGAAACTTAGTTGTTTTAGATTCGTTAGTAGTAGTTGTGGTAGGAGTGTGGATCTATCTAATCCATCTATCTAATGAACACAGTAAGCTTGCCAGCTAATATGCTAACCTAGCTTTGTTTACTTTGGTAGCTAACACGATATGAACGCTAGCTCGGAGGAACGGCAACTATAATGTAGTGTAATAAAACTACTATGAACAAAAGCTAGTGGTTCATATTAGGCTAGCAATAACGTGTTTATAATTGCAATCTTATACGGGTAGTCTGCTACGTTCGGTCATACATTGTAACTTGCATGAATACATTGTTTTGCGCTAGCATGTATAGCTAGCCTCGTTAGCTATACATGCAGTATGTACATGTACTGTCACAATGTACGGTAAATCACCCGGAGTATACTGTATGAGTATTCCGTGTGTGACTGCAGACATTCTCCTGCCATGACAAACATGTAAGGCCATCTGCTGACATTGTAGTTGATATATTTAAATGCTAGCAACGTCGTTAGCCCAGTAAGCTGGGCTTGTTTAGTGTAATAAAACCACTATGAACAAAAGCTAGTGATTCATATTAGGCTAGCAAGAACGTGTTTATAATTGCAATCTTATACGGGTAGTTTGCTACATTCATTGTAGCTGGCATAACACAAAAAAATTCCAGAGCAAACCCATGTCTAGCTCCGTTGGTTAGCTCGGTAGCATACACGCTACGCCAGCTATAATGTAATTACGTTTCGCGGCTGACCGTACGGCAAATTACCCGGAGTATACTGTCTATGAGTATTTCGTGTGTGAATGCAGACATTCTCCTGCTATGAGATACATGTATGCAAGGCCATCTGCTGATATTAGAGTTGATATATGGAAACGCTAGCAACTTAGTTAGCACAGTTAGGAAGGACGATAGGGTTAGAATTTAGGAGCTGATTTTTGGACTATTCGACCGCAACCCAAAAATCAGCTCCTAAATTCTAACCCTATCGTCTATTCCTTGACCTCTGTGTAAATGTGCGTCTGCTGCTGTGGGGAAACTATGGAAACTACAGTTTTCTATACAGCGGACTACAACATGGATGTTTAATAAGAACGAGGGACTACTGTAAACTCATCTAGAGACTCTGCACCGTGCTCTGATGCTGTTATGCTTTATGAACGGGGACAACAGAGAAACATATTCTTCATGACCAAAGTTGGAATTGAAATAAAAAAGGAAAGTGAAACTTATGCTCGTCACCCTCTCCCTCCGGTCCACATTAATACAAATGATCCCAATACGTATGATTGTATGAAAAGATCTTAAAATCAATACAAATGCATTTATTATAAACGTTAGTCCTTAACATCTATCACTGTGTATATCACCATTCAAACATCTTTTAAAAGTCGAACAAACCCCACACAGCTCAGTAAAGACTGTGAAATGTTGACTTTATTTGATAATTTCAGTAAAAACTAATGTTCATATTTCTCTTTTTGATTATAATACTGATGAACGTTCAAAACAAAGCACTTTGGCAACTTACCACATACGTTTTAAAATGCTTAATAAGCACCGTAACTTTCATGATATAATTTCTCGTTCATAATCGGTTGTTTCCGTGAACGGCCGACTGTTGTGTGACGGCAAATGCCGCGGCCGCAAGGTATTGTGGGGCAGCATTTTCTCCTCTCCTTTCGGTTAGGGAGGTCCAGTGGTTCCTAAGCTAAAGGAGGTTATAAAGGAAGTTTGAAACCTCCTTTCCTTTCATTTAGAGAATTCGAACAGCACTTATCATGGCTGCCACTGAGGGACTTCCGGGTCATTTCACTCCGTTAGGAAGGTTCCTAAGCTAAATGGACTATTCGACCGCAACCCGAGCTGTCCGACTTCAGGCGAGCTTTTTGAGACCTCCCCCGGCTGCAATCGGCTATTCTCGTCTACTTTCGAGGCGAGCCGCAGCTCGTCTCAAACAAGCCTTATACAAACAGTGCCATCAAGGGGTGGAGCTACAGCAACACATGGGGTGTTGGTTCAAAACCCCACTGCAGTCAGCATGTCGTTGTGTCCCTGAGACACTTCACCCCAAAGTGCTCCTGTGGGGATTGTCCACAGTATTGAGTATGTAAGTCGCTTTGGATAAAAGCGTGTAACATGTAATGTAATGTAATGAATTGAAATCGTTAAACTAAATGTTCTACCTAGATTTCTCTATCTATTCCAATCTTCACCAGTAGAGGGCCCCCAAGGTCCATTTAGAAATTGGGACAGACTGATATCCAGATCTGTTTGGGGGGGGGGGAGAGGCCAAGAGTTAGGTCCAGAACTCTCCAGCTACCCAAAGAAAGAGGCGGTATGGGTTTGCTCAGATTGATGGAGTACTGCTGCTGCTCAGCTAAGACCCATTTACTGTTGCTGTGAAACGGAGTTTAGAGCAAAGTGGAAGCATATGGAAAATGAAGTAAACCAGATTCCAATTCTAAATATGAGTGGGGATTATAAACTATATAAGGAACTCAGAACTAAAATGGGTCCAATAACAGTGCACACATTGGATCTATGGTTTAAAGTATTGAACATAGATAAGATTCAAAATGATGCAAATATAATAAAATGGGTAGCTTATGATGGAAACTTCAAACCTGCAAAATAAGATCAAGGTTTTAAACAATGGGTAGAGAAAGGAATAACAGCTTGGTGTGTTTTGGTTAAGGAAGGGGAGCTGGAGGGTTTTGATCATCTGAGAAGAAAACACACATTGGGAACACATGACTTCTATAGATACCTTCAACTAAGGGACTGTTACAAGAGGGGAGTCAGATCAGATTCTTCCAAGGAGTTGAATAATATCATCCAAATTATAACTAAAGCATATCAGGAAAGAAATGCGGTTCTTATGATGCTGACTATTCTCATGTTTTTTAATAATACATTTGATTTAAAAACAACGTCATCTCAAGGTGCTTCACAAAGCTATAAGGAGAAAATAATAAAACATATAAAATAAAAAGATATCTAAGGAGCATATTGAATAAAATATGGTAATATAAAAAATGAAAGGTTAAGAGCATAAAAGGTCTAAAATAAATAAATAAAGTAAAGGACAGTCAGTAAAATGCGGTGCGGAAAAGGTGGGTCTTGAGGCATAGTCATATGCCCTGTTGCACGTTTCCAACTGACAGGACACTTGATGGTTGATACCCAAGGTAGATTTTTGGACATGAATACAGTACACAGCACCCTTACAGGTCCTGGAAACTGCGAAAATTCCCCATTTTTTATCTATGCACTGTGATTTTAGGTGGTGATTTGCTGTGATGTCTGATGTTTTGGATGAGTGGTGCCTTTGTATGTGCATTTGTAGGTTTTTCCTAAGGAGTTGTAGGCTACAAAAACAACACGTTGTGTGTTTGCGCTTTGACATCAAAATGTTGGGGGCTGTGGAAATATTGTGCCATGTTGCTGCAGCAGTCGGAGCCATCCCTGGAGCGGTCGTCGGGGTCATCCCTGGAGCTGTCGTCGGGGCCATCACTGGAGCGGTTGTCGGGGTCATACCTGGAGCTGTCGTCGGGGCCATCACTGGAGCTGTCGTCAGGGCCATCACTGGAGCAGCCGTCGGGGCCATCACTGGAGCTGTCGTCAGGGCCATCACTGGAGCGGCCGTCGGGGCCATACCTGGAGCAGTCGTCGGGGTCATCCCTGGAGCTGTCGTCGGGGTCATCCCTGGAGCTGTCGTCGGGGCCATCACTGGAGCGGCCGTCGGGGTCATACCTGGAGCTGTCGTCGGGGCCATCACTGGAGCTGTCGTCGGGGCCATCACTGGAGCGGCCGTCGGGGTCATCCCTGGAGCTGTC